TTCGCCTTAGTGATCGTTCGGTAAGGCGAATTTTGCATATGGGTCTCCGCTTTCACCCCTACAAATTGGCCATTGTGCATCAGTTACAGCCCGGAGATTATGCACAACGAATGAACTTCGCACGTGAGATGGAAGCACTGATCGATCAAAATGAGAACCTCATTTTGTTTATGAGTGACGAAGCCCACTTTCACCTAAACAGCATGATTATCCAGCAGAATTGTCGTTATTGGGCTAATGAAAATCCGTAGCAGTTACACGAAAGACCGCTGCACAGCCCAAAAGTAACGGTTTGGTGCGCTTTATCGCAAACTTGCATCATTGGCCCTTACTTCTTCAAAGACGGTAATGGTCGTGATGTTACCGTGAACTCAGAGCGCTACGTCGACATGATCACCAACTTCTTTCTCCCTGAATTACGACGGCGACGTGTTCCAATCCGACGTGTGTGGTTCCAGCAGGATGGGGCGACCGCCCACACAGCCCGAGTATCCATGGACCTTATTCGCCCTCTCTTCCCTGGTCGCCTTATTTGCAGGTTTGGCAATGTTCATTGGCCTCCTCGGTTCCCAGATTCATCCATATGCGACATTTTCTTATGGGGACACCTCAAGGCTAGAGTATACGGGAACAAGTCCCGAACTCTGGACGAACTGAAAGGCGAAATTCGCGTGGAAGTCGCCCAAGATGAGAGAGCGATGTTGGAGAGAGTCTACGCGAACTTCCAAGAACGCCTCCAGCACTGCATCAACGATTTCGGCCACCACATGCCTGATGTGATTTTCCACACTTGACTGTCTCAAATGCTATTTCCTTGTGAACCTGATTCCATCAATAAATTTTTTTTCGAGTAAAAATTAACTATTTTATGGTTTTTTTAAAACCGTCCATCCTCTCTGCCGCACCCTGTATAACGTCACGATGCTTACTGTATCTCTATGATCAAGCCCTTAGAGTCGATAACCATATCATAAGGGGTAACTATAGAAATCATAAATGCATCTTGCGGCGGTCGGCATATTTGATTTGAAATGACATTTTGCGTATTGTATTTCTCTGATGCCCATATTATAGGGGTGACTATGGACATTATAAATCGCCACATTGCGGCCTCCATCGTATTGGATTTAGGATGACGTCAGTTTGCTTATTCTGATTCTCTCATCAAGATCACAATATTAGATTCAAAATGGAGGCAGTCAATCCATTATGTATTGCCACACAAACCAACCAGGCATACAAAATTTCGTTTGGTTAAGGTTAATTGGTTCAACATTCAGTTTCAGGATGCATGCTAACGAACTAATATACTAACAGCTACTTGTACAAGGCTTGTAAAAAGTGCCACTGTCAATGCAATTTATTTTGAAATCCCAGCTCAAATTAGGCCAGGAGAAAATGAAAACGGTTCAGGGTAAATTCGTATTTTCTCTCTCTAAAAATATTCTTAATTGCCAAACTATCTAAGTAACATTTTATTAGCTTTGATTTTGTATTGTATTGCTTATCGTTTCCGGATTTGAAATCCCTAGTGCACATATACACTACCGCTCAAACGTTTTGGGACAGCAGATTTTTTGGGGGAAATCAAACCAAATCAAACAACAGAGTGCGTTTAATCAAAAAAATTAGAAAGATTTTCCACTGGAACTCAGTTAGTTGGTAACTTATTTCTATCAAAATGTACTTTAAATTCGTGATTCATCGAAATGTCCACCACGAGCCTGAATAACTGCATGACAGACACGACTCATCCGACGTATCAATTTTCAATAATAGTTAGTGATAAGGATCCCACGCTTCCTGCACTAGTAGGCTCTTGTTGCTTCACCTGTCTGTCCAATTCATCCCACTAATACTCAATAGGAGACAAATCTGGGGACTGGAAAGGCCATGTCGTGATTTTCATTGCACCAAGTTCTTGCTGCTGGTCCAAATAATTGCGGCATATTCGAGATTAATGCTCAGGGTCGTTGTCTTGCTGAAATTCGAAATTGTTTCCAACAATCCTTTGTCCTGAGGGAACAGTGTGGTTTTCCAATATTTCCAAATTCTGCTCTTTTCGCATTATACCCTCAATACGAACCAAATCTCCTGTTCGATTTCCAGCAAAACGGCCCCAAACCATTACACTCCCACCTCCATGTTTAACAGTGGGCTGCAAACATTGCGGAGCTATGCGTTTATGGGGTTGGCGGCGTACAAACTGCCGTCGTCGAGATCCGAACATATCGAATTTGGATTCATCCGACCAAAGCACTCGATTCCAAGACAGTCGTCCAATCTTTAAGTTTTCGAGTCAATGCTAGCCGGTTGAGTTTATGTATGGGTCCCAGGAGTGGTTTGCATGCTGCTACACATCCTCTAGGGTTAGCCCTTTGTAAGCGGTGTTTTACAGTGGACATGGACACAAGGTTTTCCCTCGTTCTGTTCAAGCTGTGTGTGAGTTCAGTTCAATGTCTATTTCGCTTATTTGTTATTACTAAAAACCTATCCTCAGGAACAGTTGCAACTCCGCGTTTTCCAGGATGTGGACGGTCTACGACACTGCCTGTTTCTTTTTCTTCAACATTTGAGACACAGTGTTACGTGCCAAATGCAGCTTTTCAGCAATCGCTCGAATTGGTAATCCCTCATCACTTAAGGTACATACTGCACCCCGTGTTTCAAGAGAAACGTCTTTACCATTTTCCATTCTTTTGAAAAAATCTGACCCTAGCACATCGACTAGTAGTTTACGTATATACTAAACTACGTACAATTTTTACTTTGTTTCATTGATACGCAGAATCTTTATGTATCACATTACGCCGAACATAATACATAGTACAAAAAAAAGTAATAAGCCGAAGGAAATCGGCCGATTTATGACTGCAATGAACTAATAAAAATATCGGCGTCTCTAAAGATGTTTACATTTATTCCGTTTTAAGTGGTTTTTCACTGATTCTTATACAGGGTGCGGCAGAGAGGATGGACGGTTTTAAAAAAATCATAAACTAGTTAATTTTTACTCGAAAACAAATTTATTGATGGAATCAGGTTCACAAGGAAATAGCATTTGAGACAGTCAAGTGTGGAAGATCACATCAGGCATGTGGTGGCCGAAATCGTTGATGCAGTGCTGGAGACGTTCTTGGAAGTTCGCGTAGACTCTCCAACATCGCTTTCGCCCTTCAATTCGTCCAGAGTTCGGGGCTTGTTCGCGTATACTCTAGCCTTGAGGTGTACCGAACGATCACTAAGGCGAAGTGCAGCAGCATGTTTCCGGGTAAATCGAGTCGCACTGTGAAGAAAGACCTGTCGAACGCGTTCAACATTTTCAGGAGTTCGAACTGTTCGCGGCGCTCCTCTTGGTCTTCTGTTGATCAGTTCACCATGCCTGCGAAGTGATTCAACCCAACGAAGGATGGTGTTCCGATGAATGTTGAAGTGGCGACGAAAATCACGCTGTACGACGACGACTGACTCATTATTTCGGACGAAACAATCGTAGGCGAAAACGCGGTGCTCCACCGTCTAAGGCTCCATAACGACAACTGGTAAAATAATGCTAGGATCTCACGAGTCAAACGGCACCCTCCCCACCTCTCTCGTAGACGGAGGCGGAGGGTACTACCCATCCCAAAAACGTCCGTCCTCTCTGCCGCACCCTGTACATCTTCAGCTTGAGTAGTCGTATTATAGATGGTAATAATCAATCAATGTCATATAAGCCTTATTTATTTTAAGTTCTCTTAAAACAAGTTTCTGTCCCAAAATATTTGAGCGGTAGTGTACATATAGAGTTAGCAAAGCTGAATTTCAACGTAGATTTCAACTAATCATAGTAATGTCTCATGTAATACATATTGGCTCAGCTTGGGGAGAATCCTGTACATGAACAACTTTTTCTATAGTGAATTTTTATGAAAAAAATGACTTGATTTAATTTCGTGGGGCTTGAACGAACCAGGACAGCGAGAGTGAAAAGTGAATGTTTTCAATGAAAAGTGGGGAAAAGTGAGATGGATCGAAAAAAGTGAGAAAAAGTAAAAAAAGTGAGTCGCCATTATTCCTGATATGGGGATTACACAACTTGTATATTTTTTTCACATGTTTTAGAAGAAATCGACTACATTCATTTGATCCATTACTAGAAAGACGACCTCTAATTGATCTATAAGGGTCAATAGTAAAATCGGGTCCAACTTTCGACCACCCCAGTTCTTCGATGCCGGTTTTGTCAAGCTCTTTTTGAACGAACTTAATTGATGACATTAAAAGACGTACCCATCTGGAGAACATTCTGAAACAGCTTAAGAGGAACGTGAGCAGCTTAGGGCATATGTGCTCAAAAATATCGTCACTGGAATGTTAAGAGCCGTCACAAAAGTGTTGAAAATGAAAACGAAAAATACGTGCAGACGCACAGGTCGTAAAAGGTAACTTGTGAATAAATATTTACTGTTTCTATTTGAGGTACACTTTTGCGCTAAGTATCAGTAACGGGGTATTCTAGGACTTTTGATATGGATTTCACTCTCCATATTTGCAGTAAGACTACAAAAGAATAATATATAATGGATACTTTTCAGATAAAAAAGACAGACAAACATATTTCAGAACTTTTCCGTTGCATATTCTACTTTTCATTAAAATAAAAAAATAAGAAATGACACGCACACTCAGAGCTCATTATAATTGCATCATAACACCCCCTAAGGTAATTATAAAAAAGAATTGGTGGGTGTTTCTGCTAACTTGGCGCCAATAATCCACCTAGAACACAAAGCCGCACTGCCTATATCAGAATTTACTTTATAAATATTAATGCTCTCCCGCTCTTTTAATTTTATATTTACGTACTTTGCATAGTTATTTTGAGGATCCACCCAGCAAATCCACTATTCCCAACAGTTGGCAAGACGCCTCTCTATGGTGGTCATATTTGTCAAAAGTCAAAAACGAATTTAATGTTATCAATAAGCTACAATATAATTTTTAGTTTGTATACTCACCCTAATAGCATTTTTTAATGTTTCTGCTTCCTGCCTAAGAGAATCCAATTCGTTCATACTGTACTGCAGAAACTAGATAACACCTAGAACAAGATTAAAACACGTGTGATTATTTGTGTGGCATTCAGGCATTTTAAATAAAAGATGTTGCATGCTGCAAACTAACAGTAAAAAAGACCAATAGTGGATTGATTTTGTTCTTTTAGAAAAGACAAACTCATGCCCTATGGAAGGTCTCATCTATTATGAAGGTTCGTTCGTAAAAATGCAGCAATTGCACGGAGCAGAGCTGACGGCTACAAAGACATACAATGCTTCAAGAGCCTGATTCTAATTGAATTTCGACCGTTGGAATTAATTTCGATGTCGCCTTCACGTTACATATCATCCGTTATTCTAATTCTGACAGCTGCTCCTAGCGAATTTCTATATTGAAATTATCATGTCAGTGCCAAAATTATTATAGCGGATCAAATGTATGACGGCATCGAAATTAATCACACGGGTCGAAACTCAGTCAGGATCAGGCTCCCCGAGCAATCATTCGAAAAATCTTAAGCAATAAGCATACGGAACTGAGTGATGAGAAATATGGAAAGCCAGGGTTGAAAAAACTTTTTTATTTTATTTTGTTTTAAACATGTTTTTTTTAATTTTATGTTTTAAACAAATAAAACTTAGAAAAAAACATTGTTTAAATCATATTTTTTCATAATATTTATAGAAAATGTTCGATCTATTATCCTACTAAATAATAGATACCTTATTTAAAGTCCGACTCTGTACGAAACTGTCGCGATCAGCTGTTACGAACTACGTCGCGCCACGCCGCCGTTAGGCTGTGCGGGTGAATCCCCGAAATAAGAAAACCAATTGCAATGAGGAACTATTGGCCTGGGGGAACCACAGACTACTATTTATAAATTCGCCTTGCAAGTCTACAGGAAGGAACATGCCATTTGGTCCTATTTCGATGTTATTAAAGATAATAACAAAAAATCAGTGACTGCTAAGTGTAAAGTAATTATGGCTGGACTAGTGCTGCGTATGAAGAAACATATTCAAAAATGTGTTCCATCTGAAAATTCTCAGCTACCAATGACAATTATCTATGATTCCGAGTCAGATGAGGATTTAACGTTAGATGAGATATCCAAAACTCAAAAATATTCAAAGAATGTTTACTCAGATAATAATACAGGTTACGTTGAATTTTAAATGTTTACCAATATGAAGACAAATGCCCAAGAATATTTAAAAAAAAATTAAAGTCCAAAGAAACACTTGCACTATAGGAGACGCTACAGTGATATGGCTAGAATTTTTAAAGCATTCGAGCTGAACAAGCGAATGGAGAATTTTCGGTAAGTGATACGAAGAAAGTCGAGGAGCGTATGAAAATGGCTTTGACCCCAGCTCATCATCCAGAAGCATTGCCAGTTATTATTGGTTACCAGGCACCCTTTAAACCATATCTGTTTTCTAAACAACTAATTAAGAGTGCAAAACCATTCGCATGGTGGTGTGCTATAAAAAATATAAATACAACAGCCTTCTCTTCTCATCATACGGTTTAGTCCATTCAAAACTACGTAATCGGCTAAGCAATGTCAAAGCTGCTAAGTTGGTATCAATTTTTAAAGATCTTAATTCCATCAGAGATGACGCGACTGATCAGATTTCAGATTGATGACTTACATGACTATGAGACTGAATATGTGTGGGGAATTTGTTAACGCATGTATGCAAAATGTTTAAATTTTCCAATTTTTGTTGGGTCCCTATTATTAATAAATAAATATTTTTGTCAAAAAGTTTGTATAATGTATTTGAGAACATTTCCTATTTTTATTTATTATATTAATAAAGAAAATGAAGAAAAAAAAACGCTTGTGTAATTTAAGTGTTGTTAAACATGTTTTAAAATGTTTTAAACAAAAACCGTTTTAAACCTAAGCAAATGTTTAAAACAAAATGTTTAAAACAAAACAACCCTATGGAAAGCTGCAGTTTTTAGTATATCTTCAGCTAGAAAAGTATGCTAGGGATGCTGGCGGCCCAAAGCATGAATTTAAGTGAGACAAGTGGGATCTTTGAAAAAAGTAGTGAGAGAATAGTGGGAAATAGGGAATTTTTACATAAAAAGTAAGTTAATTTTCTGAGAAATTGAATACTATAATTCCAAATTTAAACGGATAATATAAGAATGTGTGAATGAAACGAGAATAACTCATATAAGGCCTTTGTTACTGTTTCATTGACGTACGTAAAAATAATTATTCATAAGTATGCATATTTTAAGATAAAACCTATTAAGTATTCTTGCCCAATTGGTTGAACCTACATTTTAACGAACTAATGTTAAAAAGTGGAAATTTGATATAGTTATTACAGATATGTATTTTTTACACAATAGTCAACTATTCATCAGACTGTAAGACTAGAGAACTTGTCATTAGGACTCAAGCGAGGCTCTATTCGATGGGTTCTCACGGCCACTTCCTGGCTTCATCATCAGATCACCTCCATGTCATAATAATATTGTACAGTCAAACGACCGCTATATTGGATTAGAATGACGTCACTTTGTTTATTGTGTTTCTTTCATCAATCCCTTTCGTTTGATATCCATAATATAAGAAATTATAAATAGATATTTTGCTGTCGCCGCCATATTGGATTTAGAATGACGCCAGTTGCTTATTGTGTTTCTCTCATCAAGCTCTTTCAATTAATACCCATATTATGATATACTAAAGAAATGATAAATCGCCATTACATTGAAAATGACGACAGTTTAATAACTTGATAATTGATATTGTAATAACGAACATTTTCAAATCATGAAAAACCATGTCAGTCGTTTCCGTCTGTCTCTCTGTCTGTCCGTTAATTTTATAACCGTTTGGATTTCGATGAAATTTTTACACAATCTTCCTAGTATACCAAGGACACAAAAGCTTTTGAAAATCGGGCCAGTGGCGGCAGACAAATAGATCTAAAATGAAAAAGAATAAAAATCGCTTAATCTTCGTTTTTTGACGTTTCAGGAAAATTGTATAGGAGGAAAAACTTGGTGGTAGATGCTGTAACTCTTACAAAAAGTGGAAGGTTTATATCCATTTTTTGATGTTAGTACATTTATACGCTCCCAACACTGGTAATTCTAAGCACCTACTATATTAGACATATTTCACGCATCATAGATTTTTCCGTACAGTAGCCCTACAACTAGCTACCGGCCGCGGCTGCTGCCCTTTTACACAATGATGGTTCAAGCTGTATAAAACCCGTGGTAATTTAATAAAGAGATGCTCGAAAAACATACAGAAATCAGCTTTGCCAATTTTATCAATTTTCTCCCCACTTTCCCGGTAAGAACAAGAAGTAAAATTAGAGCCAAATCCATAAACACCCTTCCAATTCTCGTCAAACGTCAAAATCTAAAGAGAAAATATGAAAAAATGATTTATAGCCCAAGAAAAAGAGGTTTCAACATTAGATAAATTGAAAAAGCATATATAGCATTGTTTTGACAATTTCTAACTTGGCTCAACTATAACATCGTGTAGATTAAGTATTAGAAGTTAACACCTTCCAGTGTGAATGTCGTGAGTTTTGATAAAATTTTAGATAAATACAAATACACTTACATCGGTACATCCTATTTTTTCTTGAATCTCAATAACGAAAAGATGATTTTTTTGATAATAATTTTATTTAAAAACTTTCATCCCAATAGAGGTATTTCAGATGACGCGATCAGCGAAAAAAGGGAGCTTTAAAATTCTTTCTTATTGGGTCTGTTTGAACATCTAGTAGGTGTGAAAGAGAAAACACGATTTTTTCCGTGGCACGCGCATTTGCTGAGTTACGGGCTTCGAAATAGAAGTCGTATTTGGTTAAACATGTTGCTCTTTTATTTATCTTCGAGCCAGCTTTAGCAACAGTCTCCTTAAAATATTTCCACCCGGGATCCTTTCTCCTCCCTGTCATTGCCTTTCTTTTTTTTGCCGATCTTTAATGCACAAAAAAACACACCACCACGCTACGACTTCGCACATTTGATTGCTGGAGATCGCAACGCGAAAAATTACCCAAAGGCAAACGGTACTTCCTCGGCGTCCGCTTTTAAATTAGAGATGTGCGCCGATAGAGCTGGATCAAAAATAGTAATACTTAGCGTGGCTAGATTAAATAGGTAATAGTTTTTTACTTTTTTTTACTGTTTTAAACAGCTAAATTTGAATGTTTTAAACAAAAAAAAAACAGTTTTGAACAACAAAAAAACATGATTTTTGTTTTTTTTAAACATGTTTTTTCCAACCCTGTAGATTTGAAATACCTAGTTTAGAGCGCAGAAGACACTTTACAGCGGCGTTGTTATTATTTACATTGCTGCATGGCTATGTTGATTGTTCTGATGTTCTGAGGCCCCATATTCAACTCGGCTTAATGCAACACTTAAGCTACCTAGAGCTAAGATTTAATTATTATTTAAGTATCCATTATGTTATGTGATAAATTAAACTGTGTCTCTATTCGTTGTGATATATTTTTCTGTCCATTGAATGAGTTTATCAGAATAGTAAAGAGGTTATGGAACTAATTTTGAATTTTTTTTTTTGTTTTTCGAGTAATTATCTCCATCTGTGTTTAGGGTATTATAATATACAGTGTGTCCCAGATTCGCTACTCTATACAGGGATCTCGGCTCCTGTTACACATACAGCAAAGGTTTAAATGGGGAAGGTTTTAGAGGAAACTACGTGCATTCGATAGGCGGCTAAAGGTATACGAGTCCCTTCCCACTTCAGTTGGCCCACTTCAAGATTTGTACCAAAATATGCCTTTATAAACTAAACATGACGAAACTATTTACTTCCAAAACAATTTATTTTCTCAAAAACATTTTAGATACACTCTAGTCGTAAAAAATACATACAATTTCTTAGCCACCTATGCGTTATAGACTTATTTATGCTGCAAGTTTGATTAGGAAGTGATAAAGTTGGTGTTTTCTACTATATATTATCAAAATATTCATTGTTAATATTTTAAAACTAATAACACCCTGCTACATTTTTATTATTTGTGTTTGATAATAAAAAAACTAAGATTTCAATAGTTGGGCCAACTGAAGTGGGAAGGGGCTCGTACAATCGGTCGGTGCTTTTTGGAAATATCGGCGAAAAATCGAAAACGTCGAATGTTGTTTTTTGCCAGTAAATCCGAAACAGTTAATTTGACAGCTGTCAAAATGTGACATTATTCGGACATTTTTAAGGCAAATAAGATAGCGTGTATGACATGTCTCAATCGTCCTTTGTTTTCCCGCAACCTGCCTCAACTTTCATTTTTCTTATGGCCGCTGTCAGATTTTTCGATTTTTGGAGAGAGCGTATAATTTCCAGCCAAGTGCATAAAAGATTGGAGTATCATCGAAATAACATCACACGTAATGTATTAATTTTTTTCTAAGGAGACCATGATTTATTTGTCAGAAAATAAAATTAATAAGTAAGGCATTTTTTTTTATCTTCAGGAGGCTCTGACTTTGACGTTAAATAATTCAAAGTATTAAAATTGTGTTTTAACACTCGTAAGTAGTACGTTTTCTCTCATTAAAATCTTAAATCTGAAAAAAAATTGTGAAAACCTGTTGAAAATGGCCGGTATTTCATACTCAAATGAAGAAAAGTTTGACATGTTAGCGCTGTGCGCTGGAGTTACTGGCAAACAAGTTCCGCCATTTTCGGTTATTCGCTGGTATTTTCAAAACCAATTGACCGATCATAATCTAAAGCCGGCTATCGAATGCACTAAGTTTCCTCTAAAACTGTCCCCATTTAACCTTTGTTGTAGGTATAGCAGGAGCCGAGATCCCTGTATAGAGAAGCGAATCTGGGACAAACTGTATTATAATAATTATTCCTCCAGTTTTTGCATTATATTGTTTTACTAACGCATAATAGCACACACGAGCAAGTAATTTAAAATTATATTATCTGTGAACAGGGAACCGTTGGATAATAAAACCATTATTACTATTATATTATAAACAAATTTTGTTGACACTTGTTTGTTTTTTTAGTGTGCCAATGTTTTTTTTTTTGACCCTTGAATTTCATACTTCCTATTATAATTCTTATATTATCTTTAATTCAACAAAAATGACTATTTGAATATTAGTATTCAAATAAATTTAGCATATAAAACTTCACATATTCGTTAACGAGATTTCAATATAAAAAATAGGGTGTGCCAATACTTGTTTGACCCACTGTACTTCTGAACACCAATCATTAAAATTGCTGTATGTGCAATTGTTGTCAACAAAAGCGTTCATCAAGAACTTTAGACAAACGTCCTGAATGCGGAAACTTGTTTTAATCTGCTGCAAAATTTGCATCACTTGAGGGACGTTCAGTGGCGCATGGATCTCAGACTAACTATATTTAATAATATCTAATAATAATAATTTGTTGGTGTTAGTGTGTGTTTACACACGTCAAGAGAGTACATGTTGAAAAGACAGGTCTGCCTTGAGGGGCATTTATAAAAAAATTAAAGAACAATAAACTATAGCACATTCAGACATAGAAACAAAGTGCAAAAGCGAAACACACTGCCGCAAATGCATAAGAGTATAATAAATATAAACACAATTGTTGAAAGGAGGCAGAGTAACATAAATATGAACATTAACACACGCTGAAACGCGGGACCGACTAAAATAAATTAACAATGATATGAACATTTACAAAAGCATATCACAAAAGTTAATTATCAAATATTCATCAATACAGATTAACGTTTTTTTTTTGGTTAGATAGTCTTTGAGTTTCTTGTGGAAAGCATCAATACACTTAGCGATTTGGCAGGTTTTGGCAACACGTTAAAAAATTGAATACCATAAAAATTTAAATTTGCCCCGTTTCTGTTTTTTTTTTCAAGGCGATGGCTATCCCGGCAGATGTAATCTCCATTGCGAGTTTAATAACTGTGAAAATCACTGTGGGTGGAGAAGGGACTACAATTGCCTTTCACGTACAACCAACTCAAACTGTAAGTGCATGGTAGAGTCAGTATTCCTCATTTGATGAATTCAACCTTACAGTGATTTCCATATTTCAAGTCAGACGTGTGATGGATCATCGCCTTTGCATGCCAAAAACTTTTGCATATGTGAAGAATGTCCCCACACCAACATTGCATAGGTCATTTTGGAGAGGAAATATGCACGATAACTGATCAATAACACGTTGTCCGATACTACGTCTTTCAGATTACGAATGTGGTAGATAACTCTGGACAAAGCATCTTGAACATAACGAGCATGTCCCGCCAAGTTAATATTCATATCCAGCAATTTCACACACCTTGGAGACTCCAACTCATGACTGCTTAGTCTAAATATTATTGACTGAGTCTTATCAGCATTTAGTAATAGCTTATTGGCAGCAAACCAATCATCAAGATTGGACTGGCATAACATACATTAGAACTTCCCAAAGTGGTGTCATCAGCATATAAAAACAATACACTTTTGGGAGTCTCTGACAAGCTATTAGGTATATCATTGATATATATATATATATATATATATATATATATATATATATATATATATATATATATATATATAGGTGAAAAATTAAAGCTTCCGCCTTTTGTTGGGTACTTCGACAAAATTTAAGCAAAGAGGACTCTTTATACTTTTTTAATTCTCTCTAGCTTTCAATGGACTTTGCCATCATCATCAGGAGCTGCAATTACAATGATAACAGTAGCAACAAAAGTGTAAAATGAATTTAAATTGACTCAACTTACAGTAGTATGTGAGGATGTTGCTAATTGTTGTTTACGTATAGGATGAGGGAAACGTCCAGTAACATGGTGAGAGCTGGATAGATTGTACAATGGTCAAAATTATATAAAATATGACAAGAACAAGTTAAAAACAGATTAAAAATTATTTAAAAAACATTAGAGCATTACATCGTGAAGCCACTTGATGATTGCACAAAATAGTGGTCATGGAATAATGAGTGAGATGAAACCCTTTGACAGAAGGCCGAAGGTTGTCAATGTCTGTGTTGAAAGATGGAACGAATTGTGGGCGTGTGCCAAACGTTGCCAAATCACTTCAGATGATGTGATTTTCAGAATGTTATGTAAGAATTTGTTAAACCGACCAGAGGCAGTTGAATAAACTATATTTTAATTAATGGGAATTTAAATTTTTCACCTAACTGGTCTAGACGGCAATGACCACGTCTCAAAATATATATATATATATATATATATATATAAAGGGGTTCAGGAATGGGTCCTTGAGAAACTCCGTGGTCTATTGCTTTGGTGTCGGCAGCACGGCCATTAAAACATACTACTTGTCTGTCAGATAGATATGATTCTAAGATCTCAATACTACTAGGATGAATGTGGTAAAATTGCAGTTTTTTCAATAAAATAGTACGCTGAACAGAGTCGCTTTGATATGTGAATGATTTTCAAAACCTTCGATCATTAATTGTCGAAGTAGTTGATCTGTTATGTCTAAATCCGAGTTGCCTGTTATTCAAAATGTGGTTTGACTCAAGATGATAGGCAAGCTGATCCTTCAGCACTATTTCAAAAATCTTTGCAAAATACGAGATTAAAGACATTGACAGATGGTTTTCATCAACCGATCCGGTTTCAAATATTGGAACGACTTTAGAGACCTTTAGCATTTTGGGAAAAGTACCATTTTGAATGCACATAGTTTAGCTAGTGGAATCATAAATTCATTACTGTATTTATGATTTTGGAATTGAAGTCGTGGATATCAGTACTTTTGGAATTCTTCAATGATGTCATAGCAGATCTAACTTGATTGAAGCACAATTCTTTAAAGGAGAAACAATATATGTAAAATAACAATTAAATTCGGTAGCATTTAGAGAGATTTAATAACATTCCTCATCGCTAGTTGCTTATTGTTGTTTTTATAAGAATGTCTTCTTGCCAATGTACTGGAAGCAAAACATTACGGAATATTGCGTATCCATATTATAAGTGTATTCCCAGTACAGTAATAAAATTTAAAAATAAGATCACTTCACATGCTCCTCTACAGTAGCCATAAATAAACATCACAAATTAATAAGCGGCAAGGTCGATGCACACGCATAAAGGTTTACGATAATATGCCTATCGTGGTTACGTTAAACCTAGACAGATTTACATTGTTGCTTGTCCGAGAAATTATGATGGATTTAATCTATCAAGCAACCTTCCAGTTAAAAAGAAGGTACACATATATACAATTCAGCGTTCAACGAGCTTAGTTTGTTTGTTTGCTTTGGAATCTGTATGTTGAAACTCCGAATATCGGACGTCATTGGTACTATTAATTGCAGAATAGAGATGTGAAAAAATAGTTCGGCTAGGCTTTCAGCACTAAAATCAACAAGCACTTATATGTACTAACT